TACAATTCATCTTTGAATTTCTTTCAAAGATTACCCTTGGAAATATGTGAAAAATTGGAATGAAGTTAGGTCAAAAACCTGCCTAACTAGGGAAAAATTTCACTAAGTTATTTTAGTTCATGAGCATGTATTCACAAATTTATATCTTGAGATCCAAGCATATTTAGGAGAAATTGTGTGAAGCAAAGTTGTAGATTTCATGGAGATCTACAACTTTCATGTTGGGAATTTCCTTTGAATCATTTTGTATCATAGTGAAAATCTGGCCCAAAGTTGAGAAAAAATAAGAAATTTTCTATACTTAGAAAATTTTCTAAGTTAGAAATTTTCAACTTTTCAAATTCAAATCTTAAATCTTTGGTTTCTTGATGAACAAGTTTCACATTTTGACATGTTTTGATGAATTATGATCCTTGGCACTTGAATTTGACCAAAAAGTCAAAGTTTGACTTTTTAGTGCACAGTTGACTTTTGATCAGTTGACTGAAAAATTCATCTGTCAATCCAATGGATTTGCAATGTTTTGAACCATGTCATTAGGTCAAGATGATGCAATTGAACTCTTGAGATCATTCCTTAAACCAATTGGCCATTTGCTATGTCAAAAATCAGAAATTGTCCCTTCTCAGTCAAAACCCTAATTTTGACCATTTTGCCCTTTTGATCAAATTTCTTAAAGAATTGTGATCCAAACTTGATCAAATGATACATATGCGTCTAAGATGTTGAACTGGATCAAAAATTGTGAAGTTTGACTTTAAATTGGCCATGGTTGACTTTTTCCCCAATATAGTTGATTTTTAGGTCAGCTATCCAATTGACTGATCAAAAGTGTGATTCAAGGCTTGAAACTTGACATGAGTAATCTTGGGGGTCCCTAATGATCCTTGAAAGCCCTATGAAGAATTGATAGTCCAAAAATCCTTGTGCAAACTCAAAACCTAATTCTGGTCATCAATGCATGAGGAGGTGTCTTGAGCTGGTCAAAACCTAATGCAGTCTTGAGTCAAAGAGATCTTGTGAGAAAATCCTTGATAAGTGAAAGGGAAAATTTTAGGGTACAACAGCTGCCCCTGTTCAATCTTCTTAAACCTGAAGAGTTAGACTGGCGAGTTTTGCCATTTGTGACTCAAAGGTGGAAGATGATTGGACACTAGAGTGGCCATAAATTTGTACTCGATGATGTAATGATTGAAGGAATGGGCTTACAGATGCCATTTGGTGAGGTGAAAGAAAGTTGTAGGAGATGGGCTTAAAGATGCCATCAAAGGTGATTGTTGAATTATAATTTGTAAGCTGGAAGAATGAGTATCAGAATGGCGTCCGTGTCTGGAGCGTATCTGAATTGTATCAAAAGGTTGAATCTGAATGAGTATTAGAATGGCATCCGTATCTGGAGCGTATCTGAACTGTATCAAAAGTTGAATCTGAATGAGTATCAGAATGGCATCCGTATCTGGAGCGTATCTGTACTGTATCTGAGAGTTGAATGAGTTTCAGGATGGCATCCATGTCTGGAGCGTATCTGAGCTGTATCAAAAGGTTGAATCTGAATGAATATCAGAATGGCATCCGTGTCTGGAGCGTATCTGAACTGTATCAAGATTGAATATTATTAACGGTAGTTGTTAATCTTATCCTGAAAAGGGTAAAATGTTAGCTAAAATACAAAGTTATGTTGCATGAAATGTATGATGTAACGCATTCGTGTTATCAATGTTTATGATATATGAATGCGATGTATGCATATGTGAGCTATATTTCTGTTGGATTAGGGAAAATAAATCCATGACTGCTGCTGAGGATATATAAGTCTTCATGCTTCGAAGTCGAAGTGTTGATGAATTTCCATTTTGAGAAATAAACTTTGTTATAAGGGCAATACCATATGCTGCTTGTAAAAACCTGTTGGGGAATCTTGAGAAGTTTGACGGCTTCTACTGGGGATTCACAATTTGAAACTTCGCTCCGCTGGGGATTTAAATGACGTACTGTAGGGTTTACTTATGGAATAACTTAGAGATATTTTCCTATCCTTTCAACTTATCAGTAATTGTCTCTTTTCATTTTGTTTATTTGTAAACAGTAATTATGTTCAAATGCATATGCTTAACAATGAACCATTGGACGTTTTTGTAAACAAAATGCAAGTGTAAAGAAAAGACAAATAGTTTTTGCACTTTCAACATAATATTTTGTATTGACTTTGAGTAAGTACTGTAGTACAAAGAGGCAAACATTCTAGTAAGAGAATGTTGTCGTAAAATATCCCATGGGGTTTCCATTCTGCTATAGCCTTCGTATCTCTGAGCATCTTGTCTATTTGTTGCCTTGTCTGAAGCTGATTGAATTGATCAGAACCACTGAGTTTGTCAGCGGAAGCCAAAGGTTGTCCGTAAAGTGATCCGACGGGACATAGTCATATGATTTAATTCCCTAACTTTTTCCTGGACCGCCCTTTCGTGTTTTCAGTCCACCGGGAAACTCTTTTTTGCTCAAGTTGCCCTTTCGGGTTTTCAACTTGCCGGGTGTACAATTTTGTTTTTTGTTTTATCCCTAATTTTTTCCCGAAACTTTTCGGTTCGCCGAGATGCCCTTGTTTTGCCTAGGTATGTCAACCTAGCGGGTCTCTTATGTGTAGTATCTTTTGACTATGTCCGTGTTCGCAGGGTGTGGTAGATCGTCGCCATCCATGGTGGTCAAGATCATTGTCCCACCGGAGAATATGTTTTTGATTACAAATGGTCCTTCATAGGTAGGAGTCCATTTGCCCCTGGGATCACTTTGTGGCAAGATGATGCGTTTGATCACTAGATCTCCAACTTGATACACTTGGCGTCTGACCTTCTATTTGAAAGCCTTGATCATCCGTTTTTGATACATTTGACCATGGCAAACAACAACAAGTCTCTTCTCATAAATCAAGTTTAGTTGATCAAGTCGAGTCCGGATCCAATCATCTTCATTTAACCCTGCATCCTTCATAATCCTCAGAGAAGGGATCTGGACCTCGATAGGCAAGACAACCTCCATGCTGTAAACCAAAGAATAGGTTGTTACCCCAGTTGATGTGCGAGCCGTGGTACGGTACCTGTGGAGAGCGAATGGTAGCATCTCGTGCCAGTCTTTATATGTGACTGTCATGTATGATCTTTTTAATGTTTTTATTTGCAGCTTCGACAACACCATTCATCTTTGGCCGATAGGGAGAAGAATTGTGATGTTGAATCTTGAATTGCTCGCACAATGCGGTGATCGTAATGTTGTTGAGATTTGTACCATTGTCAGTGATGATCCTTTCCGAGATACCATATCGCAAATGAGATTTTGCTTGATGAATCGGGCAACAACGTTCTTGGTAACGGAGGCGAAGGAGGCTGCCTCCACCCATTTTGTAAAATAGTCAATGGCCACTAGGATGAAGCGGTGTCCATTAGAGGCTGTCGGCTTGATTTCCCCAATCATATTAATTCCCCACATAGCAAAGGGCCAAGGAGCTGTCAAGACATTCAAAAGAATCAGAGGTACATGCACCTTTTCAGCATAAATTTGACAGTTATGGCAGGTTCGAGAGTGTTGATAATAATCTGCTTCCATGGTAGACCAGTAATAGCCTGCCCGTAGGATTTTCTTTGCCATCGTATGCCCACTAGAATAGGTGCCAAAAGTGCCTTCATGTAATTCAGCCATGATCCTTTCAGCTTCAACCTTATCTATGCACCGAAGCAATACGGAGTCATGATTGCGTTTGTACAGGATGCCATTAAGGAAAAATTTAGCAGAGAATCTCCTTAAGAACTTTTTATCACTGATTGAAGCTCCTTCTGGATATTCTTGAGCCTCGAGATACCTCTTGACTTCGTGAAACCAAGGCTGGTCCACTACTTCTTCAGTATTAATCTCGTGACAGTGTGCTAGTTCATCCATTCATTCGATGGTGATCTGGGGAGCCTCGTGTTGTACCCCAATTTTTGACCTAAGATCCCACTTGCATTTTTGCATTTTTTATACAAAAGTCAAGGTCACTAAATACGGTCGGTTTTAACCTCTTACCTTCGAGCTTTGACTATGTGAAGATTGTCAAGTGTTTTGAAAATTCTTAGCCTATGTATCACTAACTTCTAATCAAGCACGAAGTGTGTGTGTTTTTCGTTTCTTTGATTTCATTTGCAGGGAACAGATCTGAATCAAGAGCATCAGGCGTCACGCCTCAATTAGGGTTCGGAATCTCTCAATCCGGAAGTACAATTGATCGTTGATTCTTGAAGACTGATTCATCAGGGCAATCGTGTGATTATTTCCATGCTCTGTTCAATAAATGGTCTCAAGCTTCTCCACAACTTCCTCAGAGCACGAACAAGATTTCATCATCACTGGTTCACATGTGCATCAAGATGCTTTGGAATGCGAAGAAAGATCAAGTTTGTAGGTCAATTCAAAGCACTTTGTCCAAAAGTCAACGCTTGCACATTCAAGTTCAAACGATCGTAACTTTTCATTATTCAACATTTTTGAATGGTTACTTTTGCGTACAATTTTCTTTGACGTCATCTCTAACCCCTCTTTACCAGTCAAGGTCTGATTAGGTGCGGAGGATCATCAAAAGTTCGGATACTTAGAGGTCACTTTGATGACTGTGGCCTAATCTCAAGTAACAATTACTCGACTTTCAAGGATTGTAACTATTTCGATTTTCATCATTTCGGGATGGTTCTTTTTGCAACATGTCACAAATGATGTCGTCTACAAGATTGCTTCAAGGATCTACATCCGAATGCGTTTGGAAGGCCATGAGTTTGCTTGAACATTTTAGACTTAGAATTGATTTTGTATTGAGATTGTTCTCCACTAAGTTAAGGGTAAAGGCAAGATGTTGAGTTTGAGGATTCATTGATTATATATTGCTATAATACAAGTTGCTTGTATTCGAGCATTAGTAATTAATGAATTAAAATTGGATTTAGATCAAGTTTCTTTGTTTGTTCATCAAGATTCGGTTCATGGTAAAAGGTTTAGGTGTTTTATTTGGAATGCATTTCAAGGTAAAAAAGACCATTCAAGGAATCTAAGTCCATCAATTCTACAAGGACTATTTCTAAGGAAAAGTTCTTATTCAATCCAAGAATTTGATACAAGCTTTAAAGAAAATTTCAAGATCATTGATTCAAGGATATTTGTCATGTCTAGTCCAAAAGTGGAAGATGCATCATGCTAATTTTTAGGTATATTTCAAGTTTGCAATTTCAAAAAATCTCAAGACAAATCCATTCCAAACTCAAGTGAAATATTTAAAGTTACATCCAAATTCAAGACTTGTTACAAATTTCAAATTTCATTACAAATATTATAGCCACAAAATCACATGAAAAAAACATTGTAAATCCTAAAGCCTATTTTAAACTATCCTTCATCAATTTTCAAAATACCAAGTCTAAGTCTATGCTATTATTTTCAAGCCCATTTTCCTTGCTTCATGATGCATCAAATTGCTCCATAACTTGTACCAATGTTGTCCATAAATCAGCTGCTACAAACACTTCAAAACAATCCAAACCTTGCTTCAAAAATTATCCATACTGTATGCATATCAGTCCAAAAACATGCTACTGCAATGCTGCCCCAAATCCTGTCAAACCTGTCCAAAAACAAGTCAAAATTCTGCACAAATAATGCCAAAAACCTGTCCAAAAGCAGTATAAAATTTCACAAAAATAGAGGATGTAAATCCTGCATCAGAAAGGGAAAAATCAGCATATCAATTTGTCCAAGACCCACACATTTTCCCTCCAAAAAATTTTATTCTGAAGGGGGGAAAACAAAGTTAAAAACTGTGGAAAATTCTAATAAACCGGGAGGTGGAGAACAAAATTAGAGGACATCACCTGCTGTAAGAAAAAATACAACAAAAACGAAAACACAACAAAAACAACAAAATCTCTTGATCCTCTCCCTTTCTTCCCAACAGTAACCTATGCCATCTCTTTTTCTAAACTCCTTTTCATTTCCTCATCTTCTCTCTCACTTTTAGGTTCATGACATCAACAGTGCTCGTTTTCTATGGAAAACCATACCTTCCTCAATCAAAGAAAGCAAACCTGAAATCACTGCTGTGTGGAAAATTGGTCAACAGCTTTGGTTAAGGAACTATGGTGGAGTACATGAGGCGATCCGTGGTTATGAGTGGAGTCAAGAACTCCAGGGTTTCATTTCTGCTTTCTCAGAACTTTACACAAAAGAGGTTTTTCAGCTGCTCGTATCTGCTTATTCTACAATAAGTATTGAGGATGCTGCTTTATTTCTGGGAATGAGTAAAGACGATGCTACAAGTTATGTGCTACAGCAATGTTGGACTGTGGACTCTTCCTCTGGGATGCTAACTGTGCAGAAGCAGCCTGTTGTGACAGAGCAGAAGCTAGATCCTCGAAAATTGCACCAACTCACCAAATTCCATTCACCATTCAATCTTTCTCCCAATCATCTTCACCGAACACCTCCGCCTAGCAACCTTCTTCAACCTTCTAAAATCCCCACACAGTTCTGACCTCACATCACATCCACACCAAATATTCAACTTCTTTCTCAATTACATATAATTAATTAAGCCTAAGATATTTCAATTATTTTCCCAATCTTTTCTTAACCCAAAACTTATCAATGGCAACAAAAACTTCCAAACCACTTGCTTCACATCCTACATATGAAGAGATGATTAAGGAAGCGATTGTGCTGCTGAAAGAGAAAACAGGTTCAAGCCAATACGCGATTGCGAAATTCATCGAAGAGAAACACAAACAGCTTCCTCCAAGCTATGCATCGGTATCAAGAAAGTGAGAAGAAGATGACAAAGGATCTTACCTCGCGGCGGGGCCAATACAAATTCCGGCGAAGCTTGTCCTAGGTATGTCCTTATCTTCACAACTATTCACTTCTCCTTCATTGTTGTTCTGCAGTTTTACCAGGTCGACGATTACCGGCGGCGCAAGGTTGAGGAGGTCGAAGGAATCGCGGGAGGAGGAACGAGATCGGCAGCTTTAGAAGGCGAAAGAAGGTGACCACTTTGCATTGAGATAACTGAAGAAGAAAATGATAGAGGTATGGAGATAAGAGGTTACCGGAATCGATGGTTTTCTGTTCCATTCCTAACACATCACAACGCCGTTTTCCACTTTTCCATTAGGGTCTTTCTTTTCTTTTTCTAACCCACTTCGCGTATCACAGGGCAACGGGTCTGGGCCTGACCCGGTTCGGCCCGGTTCTAACCTAGCTTGTTTGTTTCAGTTTTTTTATTCATTTATGTTTATTACTCATGCCTTGGGCCTTATCCCAATCTCTTAAGCCCATCCGATTTTCATATCATAAGCCCTTCAAATTTGTGTTACACACCCCTTTTATTGTTAATTTAGTTTAGATTTTAATTAGTAATTTTATAAGGAATTTAGTTAAAACTTTGATTTAGTTTAGATTCAATTTAATAATCCAAGAATTTTAATTTAATAACTTTAAAAATCAACTTAGTTTATATTAGACACGGTTTAGTAACTTTAGAATTAATTCAACTTAGATTAAATTTAGTAATTTTAGAATTTTAATAAATCTTAGAGCTTTAACGCAACTTAGGTGTAAATTTAGAAATTTCGTAATCTCAATTTTGTTTAGAATTAATTTAGTAATTTACATATCCTCTTTAGATAACTAGTTACCTTCTCGTTTGCTTTTTTTAATCGTCTCAGTCCTTTAGAATTAAAATATTTCATTGCTTTTTTTTTCTTAATCGGTTCGTTTAAATTTATTTTCTTGCGAATTCTTGGTTACTTATATTGTGATGTTCGTCTTATTTTTTTCTGATTTGTTTGCTTCTACTCCAAGGGAAATATTTTAACTCAGTTGACTTCACGTCATCAGATACATCTTCTACAATCGTGCGAATAGCCTCATTCATGTTTTGCGTGTTTACTATTTTTCCAAACTTAAGACAATTTTCCCAAAAGACCCCATTTTCAAACTCACACTTGCTAAGTCAAAACTTCGACACTAGGTCGTCGTATCTTCAAAATCTCTCCAACACCGATTTTTAGCCAAACGAACCATTTTAATCAAACGAACAATTTTAACCAAAAAACAGATATTTCAAAAGGTTCCTGCGGAGTACCGCAGATGCATTGGGTGCTAATACCTTCCCACTATATAACCAACCCCCGAACTCTCGATCTCTTTCAAAAAACGCATTGTATTTTATTACTTTCAAGTATTATTTTACATTGCATATTTTAGGGTTTTATTTCGCTCTTTTCCCTTTTCCCTTGGAAATAATAAAGCGCGGTGGCGACTCTTGCTTTTGCGAGTCAAGTTAATTAATAGCTTGATCTCCGATTGTCACCGCTACAGAATTGGCGACTCTGCTGGGGACAGATTGACCTCTTGCTGGTCCATCCCTAAGTGGGTTAAGCCTAATTTGTTTTATCTATTTTATCATTATTTGATTGTTTGATTATATGTATATATTATGATTATTTGGGTGTTGATAATATTTACAAAGGACAAGTCCTATACCCGGACTAAGTTACACTTAGGAATAGGACGGGCGGTATAGTCATGTTAACTTTGAGGGAGTAATCCCGAAGAAGGAGGCATGAGATCCCCCACTCAGTGGAAGGCCCTTTTGAACGTAATATTTGTTTACCGAGTAATCGGGAAGACATTATTATTTTCGACCTGGGAGCCTGAGAAGCTGGGAACCGTAGAACCATAACCCATCTTGGCCTTTTAGGTGTAGCGCGGAGATTATAACGGAGTAATCCGGAAGTAATTGTTACGCGATGCTACGCTCGGATGAGTTTCTCTTGAGAATATTGCTGATTATTGAGTAATCAAGACGTTGGCAATATCCGAAGGAGGAATGTAGACTCCGGGAACTCTTAGAACCTTGTTCTGCAGGTGTGATTAAACCGTTAGTACATACCTTGGGGGTGTTCCTTACCTTGACTCCATGCTCGTGACGTTGAACCTTTCGACTTTATTTGTGACCTTGCTTGTGGTTGTTGCATAGCCATGCATTCATGCATCCATAACACCCTTTTCACTTGACTTTGAAGGAATTTGGAGGTCTTTCTTTGTAAACATCACAAGTTTCGTCAAGCTCAATGGATCTTGGGTGTTGATAGGGCGAAAACCCTAATCCACCAAAATGGATGATTGATCTTGATGATAACTTGATCAATGTTTGGAGCCAATTTAAAATTCATCTTCTATCTTCATACTTTGATGTTTACAACTTAATATCTTGAGTTCCTTGAAAATCAAATAAAAACTCTCTTTTGCATATCATACATCATTCTACATTTTTTTGTTTCACTTTCAAAGGTCTTTTTTCGAGTCTTATTTTTTCTTTGGTCTCACCAGTACAACACTCGCGCTAAGAGGACAATGGAGAATATCAAGCCAGAGGTTTCTGAACTCTGTAGAGAGATGACTATTTTGAAAGCTAGTATGGAACACTTAACTGGTTTGGTTGAAATTCTGGTTGCCACCCAAATCAATCCTTCTAGGAGGGAGGAAGCGATGATAAAAGTATTCACTGAAACTTTAAAATCATTCTCCCATGAGAAGGTGATGGTTAATGCACCTAATGACTTTCCTGACAAGGAGAATGTGGGAGTGCGTCTAGAAGAAGATGTCGGAAAGGGATGTTCATATGAAGATGGTAGCTCAGCTAATGGTGTGAAGAAGTTTGATAATAACTTTTCCAAGAAGAGAACCAGAGGAAGAAATAATCATCATCAGAATCATCACGTTTCTCCTATTCATCAACAGAATCAGCAAGTTCCTAATCAGAGGAAAGCCCGGTTTGATCCAATTCCAATTACCTATACAGAGTTGTTCCCTATCCTGATGCAGAGGAATTTGGTTCAGACCCGACCTCCACCGAAGGTTCCTGAGAAGATACATTGGTACTACAAAGCTGATTTGGCTTGTAATTTTCATCAGGGTGTTCCTGAGCATGACTTGGAGGGTTGCTTTGCTTTGAAGATTGAGGTTCAGAAGTTGGTCAGAAGTGGTATCTTGTCATTCAAGGACGTTGGTTTTGAAGTTCAAATCAAGCACGTGCCGAAGAGTAAACACGATTGATGGTCACTTTGATTTTTGAAGGGTTTTCGGTAATTCAAGTCCAGATGGAAAGCCTTCCCCGATCATTAACTTATTTCTGCTTTTTGTAATTTTTCTTGTTTATCAAAACATTGTTTGCATGTAAGAGCTTGTTTGCATCTGGATGATTATCTTAATGCAATGAGTATGTTTGTCTTGAAGAAATTCATTCGTTTCACTCATATTTGTTTTCAAATTTTAAATTACTTTTTGCATTATGATACCAACTTTTTGCTCATTCTCTTGCCTAGGCAGAGATTGAAGGGAGGATGGTGATCTAGAGAACACAAAATCTCTGGTTGTTTGCTTTTGGGATAAAATCTTGCTGATGATGTACAGGCATTGTTTCAAATCCCTAAACACCGGAGATATAAGGAAGATAATCCCTTGCTAACCCCTTTTGAGCCTTGAAGTAGAAGTTTCTTTTCTATACGAAAAAACCCTTAACTTTTAACCTGGGGCAGGGTAGTTTTCAGTTAATCTGATTGAGTGTTCAAAACTCATAAGGAAAATGTTTTTTGAAGAGAAACTACGAGGGCTATCCTTCATGTATAATGAATCTAGAGGATGTGGAACCACAATGTTATCCCTCATTCATCAAGAAACGAGGCAATCACAATCTCCTCAACAAGCAAATACAAGCTAATGTCACATTTTGTTCAAAAAGTCAAAAATCGAGAAAAAGAAAAAGCCTGCTAAGTCAAAAAACATGAAAACGTGTGACTTAGGCAAAATTAAGGCATCCCGCTGGACTATCAATTCAAAAGAATTAGTTCAGGCAAAAGTTAGGGAAAATAAAAATTGCAAAGAAAAGGACTGCAAAGAAAAGTCCTCAGCAAAGAACAAATTGGTGACTACAAACACGAAGACATGAGGGTGGTTTCTACTCCGAAAACCTCGTCGTTTCCTTAATCGTCACAAAATCCTTTTGAGAGATGAACGCTCATGTTGAATTAACTGAACATAGGATTGGAGAACATCATGAAGGGGGTGGGCACCAAATATTTTGAGCCTTAAAATCTTTTTTTCTAAAAAACCATGAACCAGACCACGTTACAACCTTCAAAAGTCCTAATTGAAGCAAGGTTATTTTGAAAGCATACTTCAACGAGATAGTGTTCCTGACTCCCATGAATGTTCTAAATAGTTATGTTGGTATCATATGTTTTTCCTATACAAAAATAAATGGTGCTTTAGCTCGCAAAATTTGTGCGATATCTTTCAAAATCTTCAAGACTTACATAACTGTTGCATTAGAATTTTCATTCTCATTGTAAACTTTTTCTAACTGCAAAACATTTGTTTGATATCAAGGGAGCTCACATAAGCACCAGTGATGAGTTTATTCTTTTAAGGCCTGAAACTCTGTTGAGTAATTAGAGAATCATTTCAAGAAAA